TCGACCATTTCTGGAGAGAAAGAATCGTCAGAACAGAACTCGACCTCATCCCGAATCCATGGATCCCCGTATACAGAGATCCACCTATGCACGTATCCAGACATTCACGCATGCTAACAACCTCAATCAAGGAAAATGAGAACTCTCTGTGTGGACACGACTCGGAGATTTGAGTGCTACTGGCTTGAGCATCGTTTCACGCTAATCCGATCAAAATGTAACCACAGGCTTCGTCTGTCATATCCTATGCACCCTATCTTGCGCCTGCGCCTCTATCTGTGAGTTTTGCAGACCGGTCAGCGCTTACACGCTCTCTATAACGAAATGTGTACCTAATCCTGGTCTTGAAAGGTAGCCGGATCGGCCGCGACCAAGTTGATACCTAGTCCACCCGCTCGCGTGCTCCATCGATGCGGCAGATGCTCCCATGTAATCAGTGGCCCAGTCCTACGTCCAGTGATGAGATGAAGAAGGAAGGAAGAATGGAGGAAGGAACTGACCATTGTGTTGTTTCGGAGGAATGAGGCCAAAACACACACTGAAAGGGGCCAATGCGTCTCGAGATCACCTAAACAAGATGCGAGGTCGCGCCTGCAGAATGCTGGGTTCATGTTTCACGTTCATCCCAGAGGAAAGGCGAATACTTACAAGGTTCATACAATGAACTTTGAGTTGAACGTGACATCGTGACGGTCACTCCTTCGCTCAATGCCCCCGAAGGACGAGCGGATTTCCTATACAAACGTCGGGGATACTGCAGGCCAATCTTCAAAAACCGTGGAATCAGATGTTTGGCCCCAATCGCCTTTCTCAGAATCCATGGCTCGACCTTGTTGAGAGGAAAGACTATAAATCATGAAAAGAAATATCCATGAATCCGGAGTTGGTTTAGCAACCATTTGAATAAAAAACGTTGAGTTGTGGATATCTGTCAAACCAGGATGCATGCCTGTCCCATCCCGCTCAGTCCCCAGGGAGCCCAAAGATCGATGATCAAGTCATCCGTAGATCCAGTCATCCATGGACTGCAATGCCAGTGAGAATTTACGCGGTGCCCACAAAGTTTTTTATCCTGTTTGGTAAGAAATTCGAGAATCCCAGGATGAGGCCCAAAAGTGCAGCAAAGCGCGAATTCGCTCAGTGCTGTGACGACGAGCCGTGGAACATCACCATGTGAAGCTCGAATCCATGTATTCAGGTATCCGTGTATCCGATGATCCATGATTCGAGATATCCGTGGACTCACCCGGTGCATACAAATTTTTCAATCTTGGTTACGAGCATCGAAGGATGAGGCCATGAAGTGTAGCAAAGCGCGAATCCGCTCAGTGCTGCGACGAGCCGTGGATCAAGTTGTCGATGTGGTAACGCTGAAGTTGCACTGAAGAGAAAGGCTTGTGAACAAAACACGTGTGACTCACTTCCCGGGCCGGTCATGTGTTCATCCACCTTGCATTATTGTTCTACCCAAGTTCTACCCCGCTACCGCTCTGTAGTTTCTCCCATCTCCGCGCGATCTGATAGGTCATGCTGTATGTGATATTCTGAATTTTCTCTGTCCATCCCCTGACTTGTGTTTCCTTCAGTGTCCATGACTGCGGTGTCTTGTTGTTCTAACTTCTAGAACGTGAAAAATCCATTGGCTGAGACGTTTGGCCGTGGTGGGATTTCAGCAGACAAGAATCGTAGCGGAAGCGGGCCCGATTGGTCTGGGAAGTACCATTCGCGGCTCCATCACCAGAGTGTGGCAGACTGTTCGCGAGGGCAGACCGCTTTTTCTTCTTTCCCCGCGGACCTATCCTTGGACGACGTCAACATATTCATCATCTTCCTCGCCGCAGCCGCTTGCTGTCCTAACTCCTCATCGAAACGATTGCGGAGCATCGTGACTTCCTCCTTGGTGGAGATGAGGCGATCGGTGGTTGCGATGAAACGAGTCCAAGTAAGAAGTCTGAGTTTATGGCCTGCCAACATGCCCCTCTTCTGCTCTAAGCCTCTAACAACCCCAACTGACTCGCAGTGGGTCGATAGGCCTCCGTCGCAGACTCACCGCCCGCAGCCTACTATCTACCTCCCTATCTACCCTGCCATCCTTTTTTCCTGCCATCCGATTACCGTTTGTTAGACATCGTGTAGATCTGCGTGATCGTGATAAAATCATGAGAGGGAATGATCACCATTGAAAGTTGAAAGAGATTCCAAGAAAACAACAAAAAAGATGTCACGAAAAAAGAACTTATGACAGCCACTCAATATACGCTCGCTCATAGGGAAAGTGGTATAACAAATGAATTGATCAACTTCGGTGGATTGTGGCACTATACATGTAATGTCTTACTTATTTAATTCATCGGCGCGAACTGCCAGCTGAGATCGAATCAAAAGTGGAGGGAGAAATTTGCTTCCTGAGGTGCGCGGCCTGGTGCCTCCCCCTGGTGGATGGCAAAACCCAGACTGGACCGCCTGAATTCGATGATAAAACATACTTTTCACCCTGAAAATGCTGTTCCATCCCCATGGCATACTCTTCCCAGGTTTCCAGTACACTGTTTCGGCAAAAATATTGGACCTGCGACGTGCCAGTAACGCGGTGGACGTATAGGTCCCCAGTCTGCAGCCGTATGGTCACAGGGTGCGGCGGCGGCCCATCGATTTTTTCAGTACCGATCGATTCATACCAACAAAAGTAATGATCCCTTCTGGTTATTTTGCGTACGTGCCTCCTGGCGCAGAAGCGTTGCTGAAAATGAATACTTCAATGATGAGCACCTGATAATGTCACGGATCTTACAGCCTTGGACAACTTGGCGGAGGGAACGCCGCTTGGCGCCCGCCGTCTTCGTCGAGAAGTGGAAGGCGTGTTAAACATCCTGAAAGATCGGATGGCA